GCTGCCTGCCTCGGCCATCACTACAGCTCAATTTTGTGATCGTATGGACAGGATTTTCGATGCCTTGAACAGCTCGAGTAAAAAGAACTTCGCAAAAGCTGCGGCATGCAATCATGAAAAATGATTCAGAGCTGATTGACTTCCTCCGAGGCCAGCTTCCCTGGATTGCATCATGGCAGTTTGTTGGCAGACGTCAACCACAAACCATCGTAGGTTGGCAAATTACAATTCAGGCAATTTGTCAACTATGGGACGACCTCTCCAAAAATTACAATTTTGAATACCTGTTAACACGCAGGCTTCAACAGGATCCTCTGGAGAACATATTTGGCCACATTAGGCAAAAACAGGGTTGCAACACCAACCCCAATGTAGCACAATTTATTTGTGGCCTGAAGCACATCTGCATAAGAAAACTCTTCAAGCTGTCAGAATACGGAAATGTCGAGGATGATGAATGTGACCTCCTCCAGGAACAGCTGTCGCCATTCTCCCTCACCAGTGCGTCTCTTGTGGATAATGAGGAGTGTGCACAGCCACAGCCTGACGACTTTCCCGCTCTAGACGATCTCTCTGAACTTGCGACAAACATTCACTCCCATATTATCGATGACTCCGCTGCATATTATGTAGCTGGTTTTCTCATCAAACACTTCCTTCGGAATGCATGTGACGGTTGCAGTTGCCCACAGTTACTGAAAGACGACAGTGAGACGCTTAAGGGTACCCACCAGTATTTCACAATGCTCAAAGCATACCACGTCCCCAGCAAACTTTTTGGGAATCTCACTGTGCCATCAGAAGCAGTTTTTGCATACGTACAACAACTTGAATCTCACTTTCTTGCCATAATTGAGGCCACTGCACATCACCTGAAAGTGTGCGATGTTTTGTATCACCATCTGTCAAGTGTTGGCGATTTTCATTTCTGCTCTGCTGGGTGTCGCGCTAAGTTTCTGAAAATGTTTTGCCGGGTTCGTTTATGTTGGCATGTGCGTTTTGTGAACCGAAACTTAGACAGGGTTAGGTTCCAGTCTTCAATCTCGGGCATGCAGCTTGACAAGTTCAAAGGTTAGCAATTAGCGGCGGGTTTACACTAAAGTATTGGAGTTGAGCCGAATCCTGCAATAGCTTTGTTATGTTATTACTTCGTTACAGCAGACTTCATTATGGTCTTATATGCTTATATTCAGTTCAACTGGACTAACCACTCCTTCGTTGCATTCATTGTTTTGGTTACCCGCTATGAGGAGTACAAACACTGTGTATTCGCTCGAAGTGATTTGCATAACCTTAAAAAGAATGTTGGGCATCCTGTCTGTATTTTTTGTAGCAAATACGGGCGAACTGTACACTTTACTGTGGGTCGCTTGGTCACTGTGTATGCTTTATCTCTCCAGCTCAAGTAATATATCGATAACAAAACCGCTTGTTGAAATGTCTTCGAGCGGGTAAGGAACACAGTATGAAGTGGGCACGGTTCATGTTATCACGCTTTTCGTATTTTAGCTTCTCATCAACCTCCTCATCTTGCCCATCAAAATTTTCAAAAGAATACCCAAACTTGTAGCGTTTGATGGGGCTGCGGACGCTGCCATTTTATTTTTATATAGCTTGTGAGTGATAACGTACGATGTAGAGCCTTTGTGAAAAATAATGAGCCAAAGTGGTTTCCTTCTGCTATTTATTAGCCCTGTAATACCGCTCTCGTAGCACCAATTAAAGTCCACAATTCTGGATAAAGTGATGACTACAATCTATTTTAGCTCGCAAGCGTCACAGCAACACCCAAACGCAAATCACTTGGGATCTTAAGTTTTTGATGAAGGCGACGCATAACAAAAGCCACAAGACCTGCCAGTGTTGTAGCATAAAGTTTGTCTTTCACGTAGTGAGCAAGCTGCAAAGCCCTACCTTTCTGAGGAGAAGCAGGCATCAAGTCTGCTTTTTTTCATTTTGGACTAGCTGTTCTTAAGCACAGCCAGCACACTGCACCTTTGCCTTTCTGCTATATTGTGTCGTGTGGTTTCTGTGCGCTCTTTTTTTCTATGCATTATTTCAGTTAAGCCCAGGCGTGATTCGCGACTTCATTGCTGTGTATATGTCACTTCTTCCTTCTTCATCAGCATTGTGCGCTATGTTTTTGCCATAGATCCTTAGTTACCCACTGGCCCGGTGTGTCATACTTCACCAGTTTCTCGGCTTCTGCCAACTCTAGCGATGTGTGCGTTGTCTGTGTTCTCTATGTATTTGTTACAATATTTGTTACAATTTATTTGTAAGGCGAGATGCATTTGTTGTCTACCTTTGTCATATTGTGCTTTTTATATTCTCATACTCTACCTTGCCTTTGAATAAAACATTGCGGATGCTCTGTTTCTTTGACTGATATATACATTGATCACTTGTTCCAAAGAAAAACACAAGCGCGATGAATAAAACGATAGTGAATTATCATTACCTGCATCTCTTTTTATTATAACTTAATCAAAATAAAAATTACGTCACGACCGATTCGCACGAACCACTGAACAAAAAACAGGGAATCGCTAAATCAAAACGACCTACAAAAACTATCCATTTGGGCGATGAATAGTGGTCTGAAATTATGAACTTACGACATAGCCAAACGTCGGTTATGCAAAGTAATTCAAAAGTTGCGCCAGTGAAACCGAAACCGGAAGCGCAAGCCACTTGCTCTCATCAACCACTAGGTGTGCTAGAGTCGATTGGGCCGCTGGGGTCTACGGGAGTGTCCACTCTTCACCTTTTTTTATTTCTCTATGGAGTCATCGCGGCCTCTGGTTGGTTGGCGCCGCTGTACGTGTGGTGACGTAGCGTACGCGAGGCGAAATATCAAGCCCGGCTTGATCCCTCGCGCCTGCTCGCGTATGCCCCGCCGACGTCGACGCCGAGAGGCACATTTGACGCTTTTGACGCGTATACGCGAGCGTACGCGTGCCAGTGGTTGGCACTTTATTCGGTAGAGCGTCGCGCTGCGGCCCGCCAAGTCCTCTTTCTTTTAAAGATAGAGAGAAGACTGCGGACGCCGCCGACGGCGGTGGATGGTTTGGGGTCGCTTATAAAGTGTACCGTAAAAACCCGCCGGGGTATAGCCGGGGGTTTTTTTTTTTCTAAAATTTAGGGTGCGAAATTTCAGCCCCGTACTATATGCGGATCCCAAAAAAGTTTTGGCCCGAATTCAGTTTTGGTTTCGGCATTGGTTGGTGCTATCATCATTATCAGGTGTCTGTGCACTTCTACGTTAGGTGGCGTGGTAGCGTGAGCGGCGTTAGTCCTAGAGACCTACAGGTACAGGCGTGCATCAGGCGAGCAACAGTGGCTTAATAAACCGTTTAAGGACCACATCAGGCGCCTGTATATGGAGTGGATGAGGTCCGGAGAGCCAGAAGTGACCCCTGCCGGACGGCTGAAACGGGCCTCGCCAGCTCTGCTCTGCTCGTGGATCGCCGAGGCGTGGGCCCGCATTCCCGAGGCGCTCGTTTGCCGTGCCTTCAAGAAGTGCTCCATCTCAAACGCGCTTGATGGCACGGAGGATGAGGTGCTGTGGGAGGACATTTCGAACAAGAAAAATTCGGAAGACAGTGTGTCAGACGAAGACGACGACTAATCGTGCACGCGCGTGCGTGCGCATGCAAGTGTGTAAATAAATGCATTTTTTTCTGTTTTCCTCGAACAATATTCGCGTGAAAATGTTTTTTCTCGCGTTTGCTATCCCCGAGTTACACCTCGAACTATACGCGGCTCCGAACTATACGCGGGTTTTTACGGTATTCACAATTAAAAGCATGACACGCACAAGGATATGTATGAGCCATCTGCTAATTGCCTCTAAGGCACGCACGCCCAGCCCGTCGAAGTAAGGAGTCCCTTCCGGAGATGCGCAGCCCACTTCAGCCGTGAAACTCCCATGCGCCTTTCTCGAAATGAAAATCCCCGGCGCTTTCAGAATCCACTTGAGAAGCGATCATCGGCAGTCCTCGCACGTTTTCACTCACGGACATAACGCACAAAGAGCGGGGTGATGTTATCGGTTTAGGCATTGTACGAAACATCACAGTGACACAGATGCCGAAGACGACGGGTATGGGTAGAGTGAAGTATGGTGCATATTAGGACGTTTGTTGCCCAATTGAAAGAAGTTCTGGGATTTAAAGACTATCGTCTCTAAATCCCTGAACTTCGACACCAGAATTTTGGTCTGTCTGTTTGTTTGTCCGCGGTATCGATCTCCCTAATGGCACCAAACGATACCGCAAACAGCCAAGCCCATCTGCAGCGCCCACCAATATTGCTCAAGTTTCAGCGTTCATACTTGCTCGATTGTCAATTACAAAGCAATTATTGCGCATATCTGAGGCGCCATAACAACACATCAATGTTTTGTATGTGTGCCTTTATACTCGAAAAGGCACACCCAAGTAATTCTAAGGACCGTAGCGTTTATTACGTTGCACTGGGAGTGCAACGCGATGCTCAATAAGGCAAGCGTTTCCGACGCTTTGCTAAGACGACACAATGGTGGCACCTGCCCATCGCTTTGCGTTCTACTCCTTATCGCCTCCGAGACAGGCGCGCATCTTTCTCAGGGGGCGCGCACGCCTTCCTTCGTTTTCGAAGATAACTGCCAGATGGCGCTCGTGTCTAACGTGCCTCGATGCGCTCGTTCGCCTGCGCTGCACGGATAGAGACTCTCTAATGCAGCGCTTCCAGAATACAATTCACCAATTTTCTTGTGTGGAACATCAAATAAACGTTTCGTTCACTCTCTCTATACGCAAGACTATTATTTTTAGACGGCATTTGCAGTGAGACGTGTAGATACGAGGCCAATTTGTTTTAAAGAAACGTTGCATCATTTCACATGAATCTAGCAAGTTAGGATCACAAAAATTAGGGAAGACCACAGCTTTGTACACATGTATGTCATTGGCCCCACATTACACACTGAAAAACTGTTTCTCCTTCCTTTTCCTCAGGTAATGCGTGGCGAAAATGACGAGCAACTCTTGTGGCCGTTCCACCACTACGTGCGGCTCTGGTTCGTGGTGCCATCTGGCGAAGCTAGCAGCGGTTTACCTCTGGAGATCGTGCCGGAGGTGGTTGACGGGCATCTCTACGCCAAGCCCACCGAAGGCTCCCGCGGCAACGGGCACTGTCTGAGCACGGCCTCTGTTGACCTGAGGGCGCTCGAATCTGGAGGATATGTGGAGAATGACAAACTGCGGCTGCGATTCGAAGTACTGCCGTGATGTATGGCGCGACGTTCCTGACTAAGAACGCACGTAATAGCGATTAGAAGCACGGTGACAGATCGTCTTCAAGACGAAGATAGAGGGATCGGTTCGGATAGGAGTGCCTGAACGTACTACACTTCACCGGGCCCAGGATACAATAGCTATGGAGGAATCAGCAAGGACGATGGGGATGATTAGACGGAGTAAGTCAGCCTTCCTAAAGTACAGTGCTGACCTGCTTCAAAAAGGCGCACTCTATTTACCTTCAGCTGTTCTTCGTGAGTTCCCATTACCGAGAAAGTAGGAAGGCCAATTCTCAAATACAACTATCAAAAGCATGTGAGTAAATTAGTGAATACTGCAAGGACATTTTTTCAATCCTCCAGTCTTTCAAAATGTCAGGTCCTAAATCTATTACCGTAGCCTTGAGAAAACATCTTGAATTTGATTTCGTGCAAATATATCAAGGCCACATCATCAAGAGGTGACAGGGTGCATCAGTACGCCTGTTAGCAGTAGTGGTCTATTCTAACGACATTCAAATAAATCAAACCTTGAAGTACTGCCTACCTCGAGTTTAGGCTGACATGACCAGTACACATGTTCTAATCTCGCTTAGCAGTGGTCTCAAACTGGCTTCAACTAGCGGGCCACGTTCACGAAATTTAGTTTCCGCGAGGATTGCTACAGAGAATGTTGGAGTGGGAGAGGAGGAAGGGCGAGTTTGCACAACATGTATGTTTACATTGTCATTTGGAATCAGGCCATCCCACACCACGAGTCGTTTTGGAAAAGCATTTGACGTCAGGTAGAGAAACATTCATACTGATCTCCTAACTAGTGAATTCCGGGTCCCGATTGCAATCACGGAGTTATTGTACCGTGGTTATGCTTTACCTTATAGTTGTCACATGGCGGGCCTCCCAAAAAAAATGAGCTTGAGACCGGTCATATCTGTGTGGCTGATGAAGATGCTTATCAAGGAAATAAAAAGATTGTGGCACCCAGCCAATCATATGCGCGTAGAGGCGAGCCATGTGTTTGAGACCCCTGGTTGCTATAGCCATTACTAAGATTTACCGTAGTGTCCTTGCTACACATTAAGTGTGCATGGCCCACGACAGAATTTCTTCTGTTGCTCACCGGCTCAACCTGCTTCAAGATGCATCTGCGCCTGAAGCAGATGCAGTACAACGTTCAACCACCCCCTATATACTCCTCTGCGTTTTGTATCCGCCTTCTTGTAATTCCACTGGTGTTTTGCAGTTGAAATTGCAAGATACATAGCGTGATATTTAGCATCTAGAAGGTCATTCCATTCGCGCTCTCGGATCGAACCAACTGACGCCACCTCTCAAGGACGGTATGCCTATCACCTGCTAGCTAGTGCCGTAATATTTTTCATGGCGAATAATTATAATACAGTGGCTACACCGAGCTCGATGTGCCAGCCCTTACCAGACCATCCAAGCCAAGCAGTTTACATTGTGATCAAGCACCCATGCGCAGACAACCAGTTCTATTAATAAGGTGCTCTTTCTTTCAGACTGCGACTCTTTCAACGACAAAACAACTTCACTGAATGCACTTGAGCATTCCGGCAGCGATACAGCGGGAACTAACAAACAATTCTGCGTGACTGAAAAAAAAAATCTGCGCTGATTTATGTGTAAAAACAAAGTGCTCAATGGCCCAAGCGCAGCACACAGCGAATGCTGTAAGCTTACTGTGCACCAACTGTCGTGCTTGATGTTTCCAGAATTGCCCCGTCGCGGTGGTCTAGTGGCTAAGGCACTCGTCTGCTGACCCGCTGGTCGAGGGATCAAATACCGGCGGCAGCGGCTGCATTTCCGATGGAGGCGGAAATGTTGTAGGCCCGTGTGCTCAGATTTGGGTGCACTTTAAAGAACCCCAGGTGGTCGAAATTTTCAGAGCCCTCCACTACAGCGTCTCTCATAATCATATGGTGGTTTTGGGACGTTAAACCCCAAATATTAATCAATAAATCATGTGTCCAGCATTCGCAATATTTCTCATTTAGTATGCATAATACGGACATATTGCGTTGTCACTAACCTAAAGTTATTTCTCACTCGTAATGAAAAAGACTGACCTCAATCAAGACGTTGTTAACAATCTGAACATGCAACAAACTCACCACCACAGGGTTTCTTTTCGCGACAATGTTTCTCGTTGATTCAGTGCACTGCAAGTTGGCATGACGGTGCTTCTATTCAAAAGTGGCGCGAAGTTGAGTGTAAATGGAACAAAGTGAATAACTAGATGGTACTCATTGTTCATCTCAAAGCACACCTTCTATCTGCTACATACTGATCTGCTGCGTTTTGCTATAAGCCGTGTAAGAATGTGGCCATTGCAAACAACATGGGTTGCTTGCGCCTTCGTCCACTAGACCTCGTTTGTAAAACCACCATTACGTCGTATATGCCATACGCTTGTGCCGGACTTCTTCAAGCTAGTACTACTGACTCAGACATACTGCGACAGCGCATGAAAGAGCAAATTCCTACACTACAACCGGTTTTTCAATCAGAGTCTGCCGTATATACTAAAGAAATAAAATGACACATTCTACAATTATCAGGAATTATCACAAAAAATGACACAGGGCGCACAGAATGGGCTGACAAAAAAAGCACTGTATTTTTTCTCGTTTTTCACTTGTCATGGAATCACACCAACTCTGTCTAGAACTACCGACACTTCTGCGCACATTATATGTATTTCGAAAAGATGAACCGCGCAAAATGAATGAGGTGCTGAAACGATAAAATTGACATCAATTTACAACTTGATTCTGACAAAAGATACACAACTTCAATAACAACGTTCACATACATCACCTAACGAAAACTATAAAGGCAAAGCCTGACTGCAGCTATCATGCTTAATGCTGCAGAATCACTTCTCCAGACGCCACATTACTCAAATATCTCAATCATCGTAAAAATACCGAAGTTCCGGGTCATACTGCGCCGGTTTGGTTCTCAACGACAGTCCCTTTCGGATCTTGTCATCGCCTAGGGCCTCGTTCCAAATGCCCTGGTGCCACAGCGCTCTCCGCAAGGTGGTCGCGGCAAACGTGCTCCCGAGGTGGAAAAATATCCACCACCCACCGTCGACGAAAGAGTAGGCCTCCGAGTCTCGCCAAGCCACGCGATTTCCAAGGTCCGTGTGACCCAAGCCGGCCGCTGTGGCCAGATGACCCGTGACGTAAGCCGTCTCGGACCAACGGGACCAAGGAGACAGTAGTTTCGAGACACGAAGCAAGTCGCTCACAATGGGCATGTTCATGATGATGGCGTGGCCGACGCAGAAGCTGCGTACCGACGAGCTGTCGAATACGGTCCTCTCGACGCCATACGTTCTCGTCCAGGGTGGTGGGATCTGCTTCCTGCTGGATGTTGTCATGGTGGCGCAGTGCAGCAAGCGCCCTCGCGGTTCCACGTTGCTCATCAGGTACTCGAAAAGCACGAATGGCTCGATCAGGACGTCATCGTCTACCTTGATGACATAAAGGGCGTGGGCGCAGTGCTGGCGAATCCAACGCATCCCCAGAAGCATCGTCCTCCGTGCCGCGTACTGTCTTCCATGCGGCACCAACAGAACGTCTCCCATCACCCGGGCTTCGAGGTGCGTCCAGGCGTACTCAGCGGTGTCCTCTGGCGGTTCTTCGACGACGAACATTCCGGTCCAGTTGAAGAAGACCTTGGCCTTCTCCTCGAACAGGGAGTCGCGTATGGCCGCGCGACGCCTCCAGTTTTGCGGTCCCGAGCAGATGAAGAACACCACTTGCTGAGGGTAGAGGCACTCGCGACGCACGGCCCAAAGGTCCCACAACGTGTCGACACTGTCGAAGTGAAGACTCCAGCCGGGCATCGCGTCGGCCTCTTGCGTGGATGTCCCGGTGTTCGCTGCTTCGTCACGGCTGCTTAAGTAGTAGCTCACAGACGCGAGCAGGAACAGGCCAGAGAAGCAGCGCGTCCGCGTTCTCTTGATCGTCATCTTCGTCTTGCTTGAACGCCTTCTCGCGGTGGCGATGTTTACGGTGATAATGAGGCCTCTCATACAGGGCACGTGCTCCCAAAAGAAGGCCAGATATATCCGATTCTTTGTTTCCCTTATTCATTTTTGCTAATTTGTTTTATATATTCTGGTTTATCGAATTCTGCAGCACTTTTTACTTTCTTAAAGGAACAATATTATTGTTTTTATCTAATTTCTCTCTTCTTTAGCAAGTGTTGTGTAAAAAATTTATATTATAAGGTACAGTGTGGCTAATCCGTCTTGTGGGTATGAGCCAAGATCTAGGCGACAAGACAAGATAGGATTATGAATCAAGTAGCAGGGTAAACTTTAGAACCTCAAGGGATGCGTAAACTGCAGCAAAAGAAATAGGCATTTTGTAGACGAGCTGCTCAAACATAACTGAAAAAAAAGGTGACCACAAAAAGACCAGTAAAAACTTTAATTAGTTCATTGGTAATAAAAATAAAACTGAGCAAAGCATCAAGGTGCTGTAAGAAATCGTCAACAGAGGTGGCGAAGCTCGCTTAAAAGCAGACCTGTGCATGTCCACCGCATGCGTGCCATTGTCACATTGCGGATGGCTTCGTCGCAGAATAATAGGGTTCCATCATACTTGCCGCGGTTTCGTTGCGGCCAGAGGGTGGTCACAAACCGAGTTTGAGCGTAGCCCCTACAAGAAAAGTCCATAACGTAACCTTGTCTTGGTGGTTTATACATACGTGCATGTGTTTGCTACTGCGACGCAGAACTGCCCATTCTACCATGCACAATCAGCTAGGTTGTGCGTGGAATTTCGCAGGACCACGTACCTGGCCAAGTGCACATAATTTTGCTAAAAAATGGGACTGTTTTTAGACAGAACCAAACTGCTAGCCGCCTACTTGGAACGAAATCATCTTTTAGCCAAGGACACTCACCTATAACCACATTGAGGCATTGCGATACAGGGATCAATAACAAAGAAATAACAAAAAAAGCCGTCACGTCAGTGCATCCGACAATTCTGCTCCAAACACTCCGCTTTTTAATGTGACGAACTTCAAGTGAACATTAAGTCTGAGACTTCAACAAAAGGTCAGATGGTGTACTACAGGACTCTTCCTGGACAACTAAAGAAAAATGTGACCAACCTACTCGTAAAAAAAATTAATGTTGCTCAATTTGCTCCGCTATTTCACTGCAACTGCAATGACATTTTTTTTTCAGACGTGAAAGAAAACGTAGTGACGTCAGACGTGCACGACTCTCAGCATAGTGCGGCATGTCACCTTGTTTATTTTTTTTTCTACATTGGTTTTTCTAATACTAGTGTGAGTCATTTCTTCAGCCCACGTTGGCATACACGTCAATGTTGAAAGGTTAATCAATAAGCGATGAATAAGCATAGCCGAATGCGTGAACCGCATCACACGCTGATGTCATGCCTTAATTGATACTTGAAGAATTTTAAAGGTGCATGGTGCGTATTTAGATGAGAACCGAATGACTAAAAATTATATTATACTGAAGCACGTACGCCGAGTTCTTCGCAAAATCATAGCGCAGAATGCTGAAATGTCAACTTCATTCCCAGAGTTGTTATAAACAAGCTGAAGCCGAATACAATATTCCGTGAAGAGTCAATACTAAAAAAATATGTTACTCACCACATGTATGAAAATGTGTTTCACGAGCCATCATACCAACTCATCTACAATCACATTAGAACACTGTGATAAGGGAACAACGAGAGCTTGCTTTTGGGGAACTTAAGAAATGAACTCTCTGTGTTCTCGAAGGTTTGCGAGAACACCGTTTATTAGAGCATACACGCTTGTCGAAGCAAGCATCCCTCAAGCTCACTTACACAGTAACCATAAAGTGTATTGTACCAGAAAGGCGTGCGAATGAGGAGGGCCAGAAGGGAGGAGGTCAGCCACCCTTCTAGTCACCTAAGAGCGAGTGGCTCAAAGTCAGCCTCACACAGTGAAATAAAAGGGAATGGAGGGCACTAAACGCGGGGGGGGGGGGGGGGCGCAAAAGTTAGCTCCATCATCGACATAATAAGGAAAATGCGCTGCGACGGGCCTTCATCCCCCCCCTCCCTGAAGGGGAACCCTGAGCATACATATGACGGGCCATATTCGAGCCTTCATGTTTCTCCAGCTCTCCTTTGCGTTACACGACTCGTTGTACACCCTTTGAACCCTATGTTCAATACACTTTACGCTATGGGAGAGGGCTGTTGCGATAAGCCTTCTGCTAGTGTGCCTCGATGCGAGCGCCTCCCTTACGGTGTTGCCATTTTTTTAAGGGACTGGTGCCGCCACGCCGCCAGTTTTAGCCCGCATTTCGCGCGTCTCGGCAGCGCCATCGTAGAGCGATGAACTGCCGTCAGCACTAATATGGCAGCCGCGCAGCAGTAGACACCGCAGAGGTCCTCTGCCTTAAAGTGGAAAAAGCTCGCATCAACACTCCTCCCCCCCCCCCCCCCCTTGTAGGCAACACTTCGTACGCCTAAGCAATCCTGCGCCCATGCCTTCGTTGCCACCAACAAGACCGTACTCAACGTCACTCTCGTCTTCCGTTCTGCACATGCGTGTGAAAAGTCTTTCACATCGGGTTCGACACGGACCGGTCGTAGCGTATGCAGGGCCTCAGTCGCTTCTCGCTGCCCTGGGCCTGCTGCGGCACGTTGTCCTCGGATGAAGTTCTGCTGGGAACGCCGGAGACCTGTATGCTGGGCACCTCCAAGAGGGGCTCCATGAACATGTTCTTGCCCACCAGAGGGCGGTAGGTGGTGTCGTAGGCGCCAGATATGCCCGACCCGGCGCTGTGGACCGACTGGGAGCTTGTGGTGCGCGACAAGTCCTGCATATCAGGACAAAGGACAATTTGCGACAAATGTGCCAAATTAATACAAGTTAAATTTTTTCTGTCATATTATTTGTCTGAATGTCCTCAAATCCGTCTAAGTGATACACTTTACAGGAACGTTATGTAAATAAAGAATCCGGGAGTCGGGAAAGGCAAGCAGCTTAGGTATTTCATATTTACCGTCATGTTACCCTGTTCACGGAAAACCGAATATGAAATTGACAAAATAATAAAGAAAAGAGATAACAGGTGTTTATGACTCTATAGCTGTGTGTGACATCCCTGTCTGTCTACAGCCGCTATACAAGCCTGCACCTTAATGAAACAGCTATAACCAGGCCCCGGAAACTCGGTCCTAGTTTCGGTTTCGCTGAACAAACGGTTGCCGGGCATCCAAAAATGTGATTGAGCGGAATGAGGTTGATATGGATGTGCGCATTTCTTGTCTTTCACAAGTTTTTACGAATTAAAGAAATGCGACGCCATCATACAAAACTTTGCTGTTTTTATGTTTTTTCTTCCCTATTGTTTTTTTACCTATTAATCAGGCGAATCTCGGGAAGTAGTTGACGTGAGTTGATAGTGTTTGCATTGCTCCTTCTTGCCACTCGCACAGCGATATATATTACAAGTTGTATCGCGCCCAGTTATCTCGCTCGGTTAGCATGTCAACTAGAAAAGAGATAAAGACAAGTGTGTGGTGGGCATAGAACGGTAGCCGCAGTGAGGTATACGCTGGTCAATCATTCAGTCGATAAAGATGACTAAGTCGGGCAACACGTGTTTTTCGCGGCTCTGCAGTGTATTAACAGGGGATTTCCAGTTCCGCGAAAGTTTTTTTCCGGTTTCCTTGCGGCAACGGGCAATGCCGCCTAGATAATTTCATGCCTGCTCACTGCTTCAGCGGCGAGCTCAAACGTCACTCTATTTAGACCGGTGTGGTTCACTGCACAGAACTGCCAACGCTTCCTATCATCGCTCTACAGACGTGGATTGCCAAGCCTGACGAACGTTTTCGTGGCGTGCCGGTGTGCTTGTTAGCGACTCCAGAATGGCGTGTTTTTCTGCGTCCGTGAATCGTAGCGTGGATATGTGATGCGCTTTGTGCTTTGGATGTTCGCAATCTGTACGGCTGCAGATCCAAATGATTGAGCGATGCTGCGTGGCGGACTGTCACGGCCAGGAGACCGAGGATGCGAGTGCTCTCGCTTTGTGAGGATAACCGAAGAACGAAATGAGAGCATGTCCTTCGTCGAGCTGGCGGCGAAATCTATTTTCTTAGTGACCCAAAGGTATGTGCATGTGTTCATATTACATATTTCTGAGTCGTTCTAATGACAACAGATGGCATTTTTCATTCTTGTCCTAAAATAAAGGCGTCTTGTGTGCTTCTGCCTTGTTGGGCCTGGCAGTACGTTTTCAGAACCAGCGTTTTTCTTTCAGTGTCGGTTAATATTTTGCTACCGGCGATTAGCGCAGCGGACTTCTTGTATTACGTCTGTTTACTTAATTCAGAAACATTGGAGGAATGCTGTTGCATTGCTTGGTGCATTGATTTTGTGCAAAGTATTTTCTTGCTGGTGTTCCAACCACTTCATTGCGGTATTATAATTTTGCACCAGTCTTGCCAGTATCTTAACCTAATATGTTTCTTTAAAATTTATATTCGTGTAGACACTTACGGTAAAGTGCTTTTTTAAATGGTGTTCCGGTGTGTGAGCGCTACTTCAAGATAGAATATTTTAGAAAACTACTAAATATAGTGATCCGAAGACCATCAGTGCACTAGAAGCACCCACGGGGGATGCAAGGGTCAATCTAGACCTAGTACTAACACTTTTCCCAAGACCTAAGTTAATGGAGCGACTATGTGCCACTGCGATAGGGGCCAGTGCAAAAGAGAAACGCCCCTCCGCGAGTCCATCTCAAGACATGTTTGTGAAACGAAGATTTTGTTTTCTCTTGCGGTGGTCATCACTCTGATATTGTGCTGAATAACATGCTCGTGGCAGCAGCACACACTCTCCTCAATGATTATACGTGTCTACGAAGACAGATGTTCGAAAGAGTACAACTAAAACTACAGAAAAATTGCAAATGTTGATTGATTGATTTGTGGGGTTTAACGTCCCAAAACCACCATATGATTATGAGAGACGCCGTAGTGGAGGGCTGCGGAAATTTCGACCACCTGGGGTTCTTTAACGTGCACCCAAATCTGAGTACACGGGCCTACAACATTTCCGCCTCCATCGGAAATGCAGCCGCCGCAGCCGGGATTTGAACCCGCGACCTGAGGGTCAGCAGCCGAGTACCTTAGCCACTAGACCACCGCGGTGGGGCAAACATTGCAAATGTGTAGAAACAGTTTCTCTGCATGTTCTAGATAATGTGTGTGTGCGGAGTGTGTGTAAATAATGAATAAAATCAGCCACACGTTCGAATGTGCAGTTTTTTTTTTTACTTGATCGATACGCATGATATAAAGGGGCCCTGAAACGCTTTTTCAAGTAACCATGGAATGAATTCACTGGAGCAGCTTATTGCCTCACGATTTCAACGCCGCAAAAACGTTAGGAATCTGTTCATTGCGAGTGGAGTTACAAAGGTTTGTCGCATGCTGCAATTGCATTCCCTCTTCTCTCGTACCGACGAAAGCACTGGAAGCTGAGCCGGAAGGGATGGCGGGGCCACAGAAAAACGTTACGCGTGCCTCGTGACCTTGAGCAATTTTTCTTTCTTTTTTTTCTTCCAATGCGCGGCTTTCTCAGTGTGATCGCGCGCGCACGCGTGGACAAGTAGTGGCCTCCCGCGGCGATCTCTGTAACGAGCGAGCGCGCCGTATTCAAATCACACAATGGCTGATAGGGGGGCTTGCTACGTGTGATTGTTGGGCATATTCCGCGATTTGTCGAGAGAATAGACAGCAATTTTTAGCTGATTTTGTTGTTTTATTGTGAATTCTGGGCCGCGTGCTGCGCTATAACATTTGGCTCGCATGTTGTTGGGAGCCTTTACAACCGATTGGTAGTGTTTTTGGACCACGCTCAGAAAGTGTTGCTGGGCCCCTTTAACCTTTCAAAGCTACTACACAATTTTTCTAACTTTTTCGTGGAAGAAATGGCTCACAGATAAATCTCTGAATGCTTTCAAGCGTAATACATTGCTCGCACTAGCGCATTCTTGCCGCAAAAGTTATAATAAAGCTGTAAAGCTTGTAAAACTCGCCGCGGACGCTTTATCATTTAGCGGGAGACGCTGGTGGCCATGGATTCGCAGCCTCCCATACGCGTGCTCGCTCGGCAAAATGAGTGACGTCATGGCGGCAGTGAGCAGGCCTGAAAATATTTTTCTAGGTGGCATCGTGACGGGTGAGTACATGTGTTTGGACTCATTATTTGAGCAGGCATCGATTTTGCACGATTACATGAGTAAACCCAGTTGTCAGCAAGCTTGACTGGGCTGACAGAAGTGCAGTGTCGCTAGACTAATTGGTGAAGACGGCATCCAAGCTGCTGTCGGCCAAATACGTGTATTGAAAGGCTTGAATTCGTGTTTGCTCGGCAACAAAGTCTTTGCTTTTTTTTTTTACTTCTGGCATGTAGTTCTAATGATGTACCAAGTTATCGTAGGCTCTTTCCTGTTCTAGAAAATCATGTAGCCGTGGTTTGAAACTTTGTGACTCTACTTTTATTAGTATCACTTAAATACATGTGACGCACTAAATTCTTTAAGACATTCTTACAAATAATGTCACTGGAGCCAACGTTTTGACAAGTGAACTTATCTGACGATTGACTAGACAGCTTGCAGGGACAGTTTCCAGCGACGTCTCGTTTTCAGTCTCGTTTGGTACTCAAGTTTAGCTATGTGCGTCGTCATAACAAACATGGCTCAGTCAAATACGACGTGTCCTACTCGTGATTGCAGATAATTTTCGTATTGATTTGGTTGTTCTGCGTTGAATGTTTGCTCCTTATGTCCATATGTCAGTCGTAAATTAAAGCTGCTTTTATAGATGGACACTTCTACACTACGTGTATGCAGATATTTTTTTATACAGAACATGCAATAAAAAGTTTCATTTCAGTTGTGTCAATCCAGTTTCTTCTAACTGAGAAATCGGTCACCTTAACTTTCGCCACTTCAGAACTCGTGAACATAATACAAAAAAATCAACAAAACTTTACCAGTGGCCGTATCGTCCAAGCAGCCAGCTGGCCTGACATCAGGCACGAACACATTCCGCTTGCATGCGAAGAGGGGAAAAATAATTTTCACGCCAACCCTCCTCCTCTCGTTTTTGTCCTTTCCCTCTATTTCGTGACCTCACCAGTGACGTCATGAATGAAATGGTCTGTTTGTTATTTATTTCGAGTTGGATGCCCGGCAGCCGCCAGTGATAGAAGCCACGCTGCCGATAGCGCATACACGGCAGTTTCGGGCCCCTGCTATAACATGCGAATGTCTAACTGAAGCAGTAAATATGCTTACAGTATTCATACAGTATTCATATTGATTTAGCAGTTAAGATACGACTATCAAAAAGGAAGTGGTGTATATGCTGATTATGCGCTCTTGATTATGGAATTCAGTTCCTTTGGTAGGACGACAAAATGTAGTGAGCACTTGTGGAACTTTCAGAAAATACAACATCGCCAAGTTGCTTCTTTCGTTCCCAAGTACGTTTGGCATGCTGATAAAAAAAATGAAGAAGCCATTCTAACCTGTGGAAAATAATCATCCGCGCAGGTTCGTCACACGCTGCACAGGGGAGAAACAGATTTTCGAACCTTAACTGATCATGTACCCTGCAGAAACAACAGTCTCTTCATTCAAGTCTAGCACATGCTCCTCATTTAAAGTTTCTTTAGTAGAGCAGCGTGACTGATTTTATCGCGACGTGCGTGTTTTTGCTTGGCTTGCCATATGCGCTTGTCGTTTGTTGCAGGAACATAATTGGTGTTTGCCGCATGTGTTCTTTTTTCATCCTAAAGCGAAATCCTTAGATGCCTCATCAAACGCAAAAATTAACTGGTGTCCCATGTCGGTGTCGTCAGCATGAATCATGCAAAAAGTCATCATTACCTGAATACGTCACCGTTCCTCAAAGTTCGTGACGTCATGGTGATAATGAATTATGGGACATCACGTGATGAGTTCATTGCATGACGTCATATAACGTACTTGCTTCGTCAAAGGTAGTTCCGTCGCAGAGGCAGTGCAGAAGCAGTCAAGGTGCCTCCGATCCCGGAGGCCTTGTAAGACAACGTTAAGGGCAGAAAGCTCTCAGAGGGTGGTGCGGCAGAATCAATGCATCCACTGAGAATAAAAAGATGGCTACCATCCTCGGTTTGTCTAAGCTGAATGTAAAGGGACCTTGTGAGTTTTAGTGGACCAGCCATGACTGGTGCGGTTTGTCCGCTATCTCGAATACACGCCCGCACTAACGAATTTCGTACACACACACACAAAGACTAGTTGTAAACAGCCTCGTCGTAAAGGTATCATCACCATATTCCTCAAGCTCTGTGTGCTTACATGTGGTACCCCTTGAGCACGCTTTCTGATGTAAGCGATCAAGGCGAAGATGAGCACGACGACTGTGATTCCAGCAGCGATGGTCACGGCCACCGCAAGGGTCTTCGACACTGCGTCAGAGTTCAGGGATATAGATATTATTCTCCGTCACGTGCACATTCATATAGCTCAGCAGAAAAAAGATAAGGCACACTTGGGCAAAGGTATTCGCAAGTGGGACGGCAATAAAGAAAATGCGCGCAGAAGGATAGATATCTGGGTGAGCTGCGAGACTCTGTGTCATGAAAAAAAATTATACAACTAGCGAAAATGCAAAACGTAGGCACGCGTACATCTTGCTTTTATTCCTATTGTATTGCTTCAGTCGCACTCCTTTTTTTATCTTAAGGACGTATAAAGGCGTGATGCACGATAAAATAAAGACTGCATGTCAACAACTGCTTAAAAGTGTCCTTGAACATGCAGACCATTCTACAGAGCACATACACCTAATCTAGAACAAGTTACCCTGAACCATCGTGTCACTTAGAAAATAATGGCATGCACAAACTCATCTGGCTACAGTACTCAGTAAGAATATCCATAAGGTGGGGAAAAACGTGGGGAAAAACCAGTGTTTATACGAGGTACGTTAAAGAAAAAAGTACTAACTACAGTCAATGAGCTAGACCAAAAGTTCTCGTTCCTTAGTGTTAGCTGGTACATAAAGCGGTATCTCAAAGATACCGTATTACTCGTTCGCGCAATGTTACATTACATGTTCTGACATGCTACATGTAATAGGACTGAATGTGTAACAGTAACGGGTCATAAAAACCCTTGTGTTCTGCAATGTTCTCTCGCAAAATACAGGACTACTGTTCGAAACGTTTTTTCCACGAACACCTCGTGCAAAGGAATTTTTCGTATATTCAAGCTTCTGTCCCCTGAACCTATACCCTATGTTTATTACTACATGTTACACGTCATATGTTAATTAGTGAGAACTTACGTCATTTTATAGAGCGCGTTTCGGGGCTGAACTTACCCTACGTTGAAGATTCTTACTCAATGTTTCTTTCTGCATTTCGCAGCCTCTTTATTATATTTTCAAAAACCCTTTAGATGAAACACGTGCTGACATGTACTCACTGCAGTTCTCGTCGCTCAGGTCGCCGCAGTTGTTCTCGTTGTTGCAAGTGAGTTCCCGCCAGATGCAGAACTTGTTGCCACACTGGTACTCGCCCTTGTAGCAGCCGTCGAAATGAAGGCCTGCGCATGCGTCCAAAAAAACGGCGACCAGCTACTTTAATAGCTGAAGCCTCTGGGATCAGTTCCACCATTCAAGTGTGGAGACCTGTGTTTCAGGTCACGGGCGCAAGCGGTGTTCTGAAGCAGCAAGTTGCCGACCTAGTTACGTTGCATTGCGAATAAGTGCAGAGAATATGGCTTCAAAATGTGTAACACTTGTTCATGAGACCTAAAAATACGTCCAATTGAGCGAAACACACTGAGCTTTTGTGTTTCAAGTTTCATGGATTTTCATATGTATACTTCGTATCTGGTTCACTATCCTTGGTTCTGAACTGAAAGTATTTGCAACGTGTCTTTGGACTTTGCAGTGTAGCGTGCTCTTCGTCGAAAAATTCATTTCTCACATTTTTTAAGGTATTAGCTGAAATTCTGTATTAAACAGAAATTCATAAATAGACTTTGTATAGAGCTATAACTTGCGATTCGAAGATGAAAACCTTGGTTTTCATTTTCCTACAATATAATGAGCCCTAAAATTCCTGCTTTTCTCTTTTAAATTTGGTCTGCTGTAGCGCTACAGTTCTTACAGTGCTCGGCTGTTGACTAGAAGGTCATAATTTTGATATCGGCCATTTCAGTTTATGGTGACGAATTGGTGGAAGCGTCTGTACTGTGCGATGTGCTGCACGGTAAAGAACAAATGATGGCGGAAATTTCTGAAGCCCTCCACAGTGGTGTGTCTCATAATCATATCGTGGGTCGGCTCGTAAAGGCCAAAACTTTCTATGACATTTTAAGCTCTGAAATCGCTCAAGGGCCTAAGCCAACGTGACCTCATAAATGATGTGTGCGTAGCCCTCATCAGCGATCTCACGTGACGTGTCTAGTCGCTGTTTGACTAACTGGGCGGCTTCCTTCGCCACGCGCTGTAGTCGTGGTGACTTAATAGAGAGTTTTAGTACTGCGTACGCTGCGTACGTGGCGGCGCTGCGTACGTAAGGACACCACGTTCTGCATAGTGCGCATGCACAGACCGCAACGCGCACGTATCGCGTTACGTACGCAGCCGCTACGTACGCACGCATGAGATGCGTGCGTGCGTACGTATGAGCTGATCGCGCCGCTCTCGAACAAGTTCGCGACAGCGCGAGACTTCGTTTTGCAAAATGGTGGCATTGAAGGCAAGCACCGACTGGCTCTGTGGCTTAAAATATGGCCATAATCTGGCTATGACACTTGGATTGGCTCACATTGGCTGTCAACAACACGTGCTTCTATTTTTATCTACCAGATGACGCAACACGCTTCACGGTCGTTGCGTACGCGGGTACTACGGCGTACTAAAAGCCGATTAGTGGCAAATGACGCCACGTAACGCAAGGCGCTTGCGTGATGCGTACGTAGCACCATTCCGCAGTACTAAAACTCTCTAATAGCATCTGAAAGACAATGAGAGCCGGTTTGTGCGTAAACGTAGTTGAAAGCACCCAAAATGAAAAAGGCGCAGCAGTAGTGCGCACAGACACAAGACAGCCCCTCCATGGATGCCCGACGAGTAGACACAGAACCAGCGAGCGTAGACCCAGAACAGTGACGTGTCTAGGTTTGACAAGTCAACACAGAACCAGCGGACATATACACAGTAAATCCATGCATTTGAGCCTAACAAGCAGGCACAGGACCCATGAACATTGATGCAGGACAGCCACTTGTACGTCGGACGAGTTCACCGAAGAGGATTGCCATCCGGGTTTCAGTTTACGCTGTTTTAACCATGGATACCGCAATGGATGTCGGAAGTTTCGCTCACTCTGCCTGTACGATGTCAGCACGATCTCGAAGGCCTTGCGCTCGTAGTTCCAGTCGTGGCGAGACGTGACCAACTGCACCTGCAGCTGCGGCGCTGTCACCCAGTGTGCCTCCTTGCCGCGAGGGTCATCCACGTTGCGGCAGAAGCGTTGCGCGTCCCGTCGGTCCGCCCACATCTGCACTGGACGCAAGACCCCCAAAAGCGGTCCCTTATTTTGGGGATTACTATGATTTGCAGGACAAACATGACACGTGCATGATTTGCAGGACAATCGTGACAAAAAAACACACATACCAGCAGCAGAACTACATGAAAAGAGTCGCTCAAGTCTAGTGGTTGCCTGCCAGGTAGGCTGCAGGCTTATCCCGCCCATGGAAACATCATCCCCGCTACCACCACAATCATGTCGGGCTAATTGGCTGAAGTGCTTGCTGATGCCCTTTGGACCTATTCATAAACATGAATATACAACGCCCTGTCTTCTCCTTTCGAGCTGTATAGGTGCCATTAATAGCATTGCAGAAGTAGATCAAAATAGACAGTTACACCTGTACAAATGGACAGAGTAATCGATTATTAATATTTATTTATTTATTTATTTATTTATTTATTTATTTATTTATTTATTTATTTATTTATTATTTATTTATTTATTGTACCTATGAACTGACTGATTGCATTTGGCTGCCCGACAAGAACTTGCCCCTCCCTTCGATACAGCTGAAAAGGTTCATTCCCCAAACATGGTTTTAGTAGGGTAGCTCCTGCTGTACAGCTTAGTTTTCTAATGACCGGAATAAACCCCACCTAAAACATGAACAAAGCTTTCACTCAAGTGTTACTGAAATGCGAAAGTGTGGTGGCGCTATAGAGAAAACCGCAATGTAATTCTAGTCTCATAATAAATCTCGGTCACCACGCAGTGAAAAGCACTGGGTAGTACATACCCTTGTTTCGTTCATCCGTGCTAGTCAAGTAGTTAGCTTCCATAAGCATGCCACTTTTTGTGACTCTAAGAATACAATTGCGTTCTCACTGGTGAGCATGTTGTCGCAGTTTCCGATTCCTTTCCGCTACATTTCAACAGAGGCGACATGCAAACCCTTTTGCGAATATACCCGCTAATGATGTCAACCTTCGTCCATTGCCTTTCACATTTTCGTCCTTGTTAGTCTGTATTAAAACATGTTACGCCATGTCAATATACCAAGTGTGCTCTAAAGCAGAGTTGTCCACGAGTACCTCCAGGTAGGACAGGCACGTCATGGGCAGGTCCAGGAAAGAGATGCTATACAGCAGGCTCCGGTCCACCCTTGTGGTCACGTTCACTGTGCAGTTGAAGTCGTGGTCGATGTGGTGCTTAGTGGCTCGTAGCACCACCGCTGACTCCAGGCCCGCCACTCCCACGGTGATGGTTGCTGTGTGCGCCGATCCACACAAATCGTCCATGTAGTCTGCGTGAAAAAGAAAGTGGATTACGCTACATTACAAATGGAAAAGCCTTCTTTGACCGCACTCGCCTAAGGTGTTACGTTGCTCGGCTGATTACCCGAAGGTCGCTGGTTTGATGTTTACAGCTGTGGTTGCATTTTCATAGCGGAAAAATGCTGGCGGCTCGTGTACTGTACAATATAGAGTTTTCGAGTAGCGTACGCAAACACTGACCGTGGCGGTCGCTGCCACTTCGCGTGCATCGTAACGCTAACTGCGTTTAGCGTTTGCGGTCCGCACGCAAAAAAAAAATACGAAATAGCGTGTGGTCCGAAAGCCCCTTTGTGGTGACTCGATCGTTTGCGTGAGAGAAACTCTCATCAAAAACTGGTGAAGCGCCCATACTCAAACGCTGCGCCCGCTAACTTTGCGTGCGCCATTCAAAAGCCCTCTAATGTAAGTTCGCGCTTAAAAAACACCTGATGGTTGAAATTTTTAGAGCCTTCCACAGCGACATACCTTGTAATCAGACCGTCGCCCCACCACCGTGGTCTAATGGCTAAGGTACTCGGCTGCTCAACAGCAGGTCGCGGGATCGAATCCCCGCTGCATTTTCGATGAAGGCGAAAATGCTGTAGGCTCGTGTGCTCTGATTTTGACGCACGCTAAATAACGCCAGGTAGTCGAAATTTCGAGAGCCCTCCACTACGGCGTCTTTCATTATTCATGTGGTGGTTTTGGGAAGTTAAACCCCGCACACCCACCTATCTATCGGTAATCATACCGTCGTTTTTGCATGTGAATCCCCGAATATTATTAACATTGTTCGACTCGCTTCGTAATGCTACCAGCACGTCCGCAACGCTTCTCAATCCTGCTTTTTGTCATTTTACACCCTTTACCGCCCACAGCCATGCGTTATCAGTCGAATCAAGCAACACTTGAAAACAACCGACGAAGGTCAAAAAGAGGTCAGCCCGAGTGCCTTAGAGCAATCAGCCAGAACATCTAGCCGTGTAACTTTGTTCCGCTCTTTATTATGTCTTTATTGTGTGTTGTCTAGGCTATATGAACTACGGACAATTTCTATAAACTTTTCTACGTGCCCTACAATGATTTACTAAATCGCCCAGCATGCCATCACCCTACCTGGGTAGCCGCTCTTTTTTTCTGTCAGCTCCATTAGAAAGTGATGTCCTTCGCCGACCAGCCACGAAGGACACAGCAGGAACACGCCGTATAACAAGATTCGTTACGATAAAAATACGGAAAACAGATAAGAATACAAGATGCACGTGATCTAGAGTTGAACTGTTCGTGGCTGTTCCTAAACCATATGCGCGAGCAGCAAGCGCATTGCTCAACTAAAGTGTCGCGGCTAATGTGACTTGATTTGATCAGCGAAAATGATAATTGGGAGAGAAGAGCGATCGATACTGCTTCCGAGATATCGTCGGAAGGGTTCATACCCTTGAACTCAAGGGTTCAAGGGTATGAACCCTTCAAGGGTTCAAGGGTTCAAGGGTGAGTTCAAGGGTTCATACCCTTGAACTTTTTGGCCGAGTCAGTCAGACAAACTTTAGAGTCGTGGGGAAGGGCTCTCAGGGCTACGCCCGAAATTGCAATATTATCACGCGAGCGTCGACCTCTGCGCACGGCAGTGCCCAATATAGGCGAGCAGTAACGATATTTCATGCATTGTGCTCAAGCGCAGAGAGCGTACTCGTGTGCAATGGCCACCTGCTAACCTGTTTTGCTTCGATGTGCATATGTACTGTCAGACATATCTGTGCAATCACATGAACAGAAAGCCGCTAAGTCACTGATCGTTGTATCACTGATGTCGTTGCTTCTCGCAAATATTACTAAACAATGTGTTCTGGGATCGGCCCTCATGTTATAAAAAATGCTATGATGTACCACACCATACTCTTCGTTACGCACGAACAACACTACTCGCTCGTCTACTTGCCAATCAGGCCGGGGAAATCCTACTGACAGCCCACGTACGCCCACTGCTGGCCCCTGTATAAGGGACGAAAAATCGACTCCGAGCAGTACCGCCGCTTATTATGACAGACAAACCATCTCACAAGGTTTCGGCTATGCCGGTCTCTAAGCCCTACTGCTTAGTCAACGCTGAAAACATGCCAGCAACAACTTCTCTCAGGTATGGCTGAACATTTCTCATTCGTTCTGAACCTACCAAACACCAATAGAGTTGAGTTGAACGTAACCCAGACTGGTGTTCGACTGGCAGACAAACAATCCGAAGTGCAAAACTGTGACCACCGTGCACCATCCTACGCAAGTCTTTGCAGTGGTGAAAGGGCCTGTAGTGATGCAGTTCGTTTAGACCAGTGGTGACAAACATGTGACCCGCCATGTAGCTATGTTCTCCTGCTTTTTTTATTTTTTATAATAAGCGCGTGCGCTTGAGCTACGCAATCATGCCTGGTCTAAAGCATTGTTTTCATGAGGGCATTACGCATGCGTTGAAGCGATACCGTAAGGCAAAAACAGTATTTTTTTCAGAATCGGCGTACAGATTTCTCATTCTGGACCTGGGTACCTGTTGATGGATGTAAATCGGCCAGGTGTCTTCTGAAACGACCCTTATATGAAGTACGAGAAAAAGATGTATTTACAACACCCCCCCCCCCCTCTCCGCTCTGACCTTCGTTCCTCACCTGGCCTTTGTGGCATTAAATTCTGTGACTGTGGCCCCTGTCTCAGCTTACTCGGAGACCTCTAGCTTAGACGATGGCTGACGCATTATACAGCGAGAAAACAATCGCCTTGCAGCTCGTCCCATCGCAGTTGAACATGTGGCGATGGAATGACCTGTGCGGCGCCTGGAAAACTGGAAGCATTGCCTTCGCATCTGTTGCACGCTGCCTCAGCGACTTTAATTTGCAAAAGCCATCTTCACGCCGGATTTCAAGTACGACCGCCAAACCGTAGCCACCAGTTCGCTGTGGACATGTCGAATTTACACGTGGGACATCATTTGGTTGCGATGCGATCTTTTTTAGGTGTGCGAGAACGAAATGCCTTTTCAAGCTTACGAGACTATTCGTTTCAGTCAAATCAGTGGTTTGATTTATCGCGCCAACGTGTGGTCCAGAGAAGACCTCATGGCTAATGTAAAACTGCTGCTTGGGCGAGTTAGTTCTTGTTCAGGATAGATTTACCAGCGCAAAAAAAGGAAACATTTAACAAGAAGCACACACACACACACAAACACGGCTCTAAACTCACAACTTATTTTTCACTTAGAACACAAGGCGTTTTTCGTGGCACGTGTGAAAGCAACAAAAGAATTTGGCGCAACGTGTGTGTTTCCTCTTAAGTGTTTCGTTTTTTCGCGTTGATAAATCTACATTTATCATGGCTAATGCCACTTCCTACTCGTGCGAGATAGCGCTCGACCAGTGGCCAACAACGGTGCAGCTTTTATGTATAGAAATAATTGTTGGGGCTCTTTACGTCCCAAAACCACGATGCGAATAGGAGGGACGCCGTAGTGGAGGGCTCCGGAAATTTCGACCACCAGGGGTTCTTTAACGTGCACTTAAATCTACACAGGTTTCAGGCATTTCCGCTTCCATCGAAAGTGTGGCCGATATTCAATTCTGCGACCTTCGGGTCAGCACTCGCGTGCCATGACCGCTAAACCAGCATTCCGAACGATCTTTCTTACAAACCGAAGCCGGTAATACATAAACTCTTCCCTGAAATTCGACACAGGAAAGAGTCTTGCACAGCTGCGGGTCAGTGTATAGGTGCAGTGGCTATGGATAACTGCGAACAGAGGCTGAACCTGTTTCGCCTAAACGCAGCAGGCTGGAGGCAATCATTTAGGGAGAGACAGGAAGTCAATACCGACTGACAGCAAACGTGGCTTTACTAAGGGTCCTTTAGTGCGTGAAGATTTTGACCCTCCATACAGAACCGGCGATGTTGCTCGCCCTCGAAAAGAACTGATTTCAGCATCAGAGACACCATGGCAGCACTCTGCTTCATTCTTTTAGAACGCTGAATCATCGTCGCGTACAAAGCACATTTCACAGACGACAAGCGCTGATGCGGAAATACCTTTCTGTGGATCTGTCGTATTTCTTTGTGGTGCTGCGAACAAGAGCAATGTATCTCCACGTATTTAACTGCGATCAGCACTTATTTCCTTGTATTTTTATCTCTCTTTTGACGTAGTGAGATACGTGCCGTTCACTGGCTGCTCGGTAAACACTCCCAGCTTTGTGACGTCGTAGGCTGAGACGTCATTTGAAGGAAACAAAAAGAAGAACTTGGTTGTGGGCGTTCGCTTACGACGAAAAATTGCACCTGCTTCGAAACAGCTATACCTCTTCAGTTATAGTGTCGCCACTTACGGCTTTCTTCACTAACAAGTTGAGCTCAATAGAGCGACCCTAATTACCGGGTCTAAGGAAACACTGAAAAGTTCTTCTGTGTTGCGCTGCAATGAGATAGGGTTTGTATTTATACTCTCTTATGTTGGCCATTTCTGTGCTCAAGCAGTTTTTTTTGTGTTCTGTCAGCCATTATGTGTGCCCATGCTGTTCTTATCTCAGTGAACATTGTAGATCTTATGCGAATATGACAGTACACCATAAGGGGCCCCGGCCATGGTGATCTAGTGCCTAAGGTACTCGGCTGCTAGCCGCCGGTGGCGGTTGCACTTTCGATGGAGGCGAAAATGCTGTAGACTCGTGTGCTCAGATTTGGGTCACGTTAAAGAACCTCAGGTGATCGAAATTTTCGAAGCCCTGCACTATGGCGTCTGTCATAATATTATGGTAGTTTTGGTGACGTTAAAACCTACATATGAATCAATTAACATGACACTATACGAACTCAAGAGTCCACCCACCCGTACTCACTCAGACTCAGATCAAGCCGTGACTCTGAGCCTGTTGAGGTGAGTAATATTTTAGTGAGTTCGAGTCCGAGTACTAAGTGAGAAGCGGAAAACACTTCAGGGAGTCTAAGGGAGTTACAC